GTAGTGTGCACTTTCTTGGTGTGTGAAGTGTCTCTTGTGTTGCTTCTTTGATTTTCCTTGAATTGAAATCTGCAACCTTAAGGACACACCTTGAAGCATTTGAAATAGCAAAAAAGCAAGCTACATGAAGGGACTGGTACCACCATTAAATAGCTAGAACCGTCCTATGATACGAAGCAAGCAACAGTTTTCCATCAGCAACATTGCATTTTTGCACTTGGGAGATGTATTGGGAGTGCCAAATGGCAGCTGCTCTAGGCCCTAGCAATTCAGCCCCACCATTTATTAGTTCCGTGGCTGTGAAGGAGAGAGTAGCCAGCCCACCCAATAACAGTAACAACAGCACTGGGAGATGTCCGGGGTACTGAAAGTTTAGTTGTAGAGGTCATTATATCTATATGTCCCAGGCAAGTGTAAAATAGCTTGTCTTGCAATGTTTTTAGATAAAAAAAGGACACTTTCAGAATATTTGTCAAGTGAGAAGAGATTTCTTTCATAGAATGTGGAATTACCAAATTCAAAGGGAAGATATTATGACAAACATTTGCAATTTTGTCTTCTTGGTTTTCTGTGGACATACATTGAAAAGCAGTTACTGTATCCTTTGTATGTTTATTGCTTTTGTGAGGTTCAACCAGCTTTGTAACACCCTTGACATCTTGAAGAGGTGATGTTATGTTAATCCTTGAACAAATATTCTTAAATGAAAAGTAATAAAAAAAAAAATTTTTAATTTTTTGCTACCATCAAGCCCAATTTGATAGCTTACTACTAATGGCTACCAAAGCTAACCTTTCCATGTTAATGAGAAGAGTACATTAGCTAGATGAAATAACTGTCTGCACTGCCTGCTTTGGTTTCCTCCATTACAATCACAGGGACACAGATGGCTACCTATTACCTGTGGACAGAAGCCCATATTAGTAACTATAGCTTTGATTAGTAGTTAGTGTATCCCATTTCTCCAATTTGGCCTGAATATCCTTTGCTGAAAAGTACTTTTGGCCATGTTTTTAGGACCAGGTTTTTGTTTTTAAGTTGCACATCCAAACATTTTAAAGGGGAGTAGCTGCTATTCTAATATGTGGAGCAAACCCTGTTCCCCAAAAATGCAGTTTGCAAACTACTAGTTTACTGCTGAACTGATGTATCCAGAACCATGCTCAGGCACTGTCAGTTCTGGATAGCCCATGTGTATCCAGAACTGTGCCTGGGACAAATTTACATTCTTGGATACAAGAGACTATCCAGAACTGTAGAAGAATGTATACTAGTAACTAGACAGGCATGGTTCTGGATGCAATATGCATCCTACATAAGTTAAAAGTAAAACATAACAGTAAGAGAGGGAAATTTCCGTCACACTTTTGGAATACTTTTTACAAAAATAATCCAATGCAGATGCAAGCTTTATGCAACACAGCTCAATCAATTGCATATTAATAACATACTTTTCACCACATCTGTCCATTATATCCCTATGGTGGCAATAATTAGGTTTAATTACCATTTCTCTTTCATTCCATTTCAAAACATGAAACGAGATTACATAGTCCATTAGCTAATGAAACATCTCATCAAGGGCGTAAATTGGATGCTTTTATTATGCTTTCTGTCTAATACTTGGCACATACTTTTTTCATGACATTCACATTGGATTTCCTACGCACCTCAAATCCTAGAAGAGGCGTCTGAGGAATATGCAAACCTAATAGCATTGAAAATTGGATAAATCTGGAGGCGTGCTCATACTTAACCATCAGAACGACTTAGTATGTGTACGAAAATAGTTTCATCAGGTTGGTAGGACATAGGAAATATGGAAAAGGATTGAAAATTGGATAAATTCTGGAGACATGCACATACTTAATCATCAGAACGACTTAGTATGTGTTCAAAAATAGTTTCATCAGGTTGGTAGGACATAGGATATATGGAAAAGGATTGAAAATTGGATAAATCTGGAGACATGCTCATACTCAACCATCAGGACAACTTAGTATGCGTACGAAAATAGTTTCATCAGCTTCATAGAACATAGGCTATAGGGATTTTCTTTTTACACAACCAAAACTTCTCTCACCTTGCTTACATTTTGGTGTCTATGAGACACCTTCCTCAGAGCTTCTGACTGGAGTTCTGCTTCTTGACGGTGTCTGGTAGACACGGAAATGTTAGAAAGGTGAGAGAAGTTGATTTGATATTTGATTTGATTTATTGAAATTGCAACAGAGCAATACACGCGGCACAGAACTGTTGCTGGTGTTGTGTTCCACACATAGAAACGAATACTGGACAGACAATACTCATTTTCACTTAAGTGAGGAAAATCGTATAAAGTGCCTTTCCCAAGTACACAAGATCGGTGGCATGTCAGGACTCGAACTCCGGACCTCTTGATTCTGAGTCGCGCACGCTGCTGCTACGCCACACGACCCCACAAGTTTTGATTGTGTAAAAAGAAAATCCCTTTATTCAAACTTAGTATGCAATGCATGCTACATGAAGTGATTTTTGCATGCAGAACTATGCTTGCGCTTTGTCTTCGCGCCACATGGGGATTCCATAACAGCGGGCGGTACGCATATAAGAATGCATCTATCTTGATTAGCGAAAATATGATCTCCTTATCCTCCAGACGAGTCCTTCATTCATCCCAATTCTCCTTGATGTGACATTTGAAGGCTCACCAGGGAGCGCTGCCTGCAAATTTGCCTACCTACTGGGGAGGCAACAAAAGTTTTGGCTGGAGCAACCTTCAGTAAGTTTGCTACCATGGGATTACAATCAGTGTGCAGTGATTAAAGCTGCTATTGCCAAGTCTAGCCAGCATTTATCTCAGTAGACGTTTAGGCCACACCAATTTAAGTTCTTGGTTAAGGCCACACCAATTTAATTTCTTGGTTAACGGATTTTTCTAGAAAAATATTGGAGCGGGTGGGCGAAAAAAAATAAAAAATAAAAACAGGCCCAAGCATCCTATTATGGCCCAAAATGGTACGATAGGAGTCATGAAGTCAACACACCAGGCTGGTTCAAAATTTAAACAAAGAATTTTGAACTTTTATAATGATACCACTGCATTGAAAGATGGAATAACTGTAACAAGGACTGTTTTCAACTGTTCAGGACAAAATATGAGCATTTTGCAGTTGATACTGATTTTTTTGGGGGGTGGGGGCAAATAAGAAAAAAATGAAGCGGGCAAATCCGTTGACCAAGAAATTAAATTGGTGTGGCCGTATCCATGCGGTAGTTATGAAGCTTCTAAATGGTGCACAACAGGCTTTAGCCAGCAGAAATTTTTTCCTGTCAACCCAGGTTCATCATCTAGGGGGTTCACGGAAAGTTCAGGATTTTCCCACAATTTCCCACATTTTGAGAGGCACATCTTGGGGTTGAGAGTGGTAGTTGGTGGTACTTTTGATGTTTTTATATTTCTTTCCAAGATTATTGTCAACTTTGTTGGTCAAGGTTGACAGATTGGTTTAAGAGATTTTCCGTCACACACCACAAAGTTCTGAAATTGACGGAAAAACAGGTGCTGGCTAGAGTCTGGTGCACACCCCAGCTCTTCCGCAACCGGGGTGCATGACAGTGCACAGTAAGAAAGTTAGAAAAGGGTTTTAAAGGTCCAAGTTTGAGATCAAATATCTCATAATCTGCTTCAAAGTAACATGGCTGAAAAGGGTAAGAGGTGGACCAGGTGTTTTTTGGTGGGTGAAAGTTGATTTTGACTTCGAGCCTTACTTCTGCGTATTATTTTGCATCAAAAGTGATGCACCCATTTGACACAGATTGAGCTCACAGTGTCTTTGTGTAAGCGGATTTTCAATACCTCACCTTAAATGCACCTTACAACTGTCCAAAGTGTGCACGCCAAAATAGGCTTTAGATTCTACTGACTGATATGATACTGATGAGTTGCTCACACGCTGCTTACAAATGTAGTTACCTCTGTGGGTCACACCAACGTAATTTGGCAGCGGCATTCTTGAATAGGTTTCTTTCTGGGCTGCCTTTGAGTGACCTAGACCTAGTGTGCCTCGAGATTGCAATCGACGTTCACTAATTACAACTGCTATTGTGGAGTCTAAGCCTCAGGCCAGACATTAGTCTAAGAACTATCTTGTCTATGCAGTGCACATGGAAGTAGTCAGATGCCACAACGGTGCAGACAGAAGAATTGATTGGGACGCTTTCCAATAGATATGGAAAGCTGGGCCTTTGCAACTATCTTGGCACCAACATACGATGTGTGAAAAATATTGATGCTTGGGAGCAGTACCGGTGCAATGGCCAAGTGGATACTTTTTTTTAGATACATTTTGCACCCTGCATTTGGTTGGTCACAATATTGACTCTGGGCGAGTCATACCAAAGATTTAAAGTGGTACATGCTGCTTTTTCTGCTTTTTAAAGCACTCAGCTTCCTGTGAGTAGAGCTCACAGGCCTACCCTGAATAGAGACAGGGGCAACACAAGTTATCTGGCACGTATGACCTGCTACTATGGTCACATGTTTTTGACATCACATGTTTTTCCAAGAGTAGACGGGTCCATTCCGTGGACAAGGTTGAAGGAGTCAGCCGAAAATTTGGGTAAGTCCCCATTCAATTTTAGTAATGGTAATATTAGTTTTATACTTAGCCAATAATATGCTTGTTTCATGATTTTAGCTATAATTAGTACCTTGTCTGACCTGTGACCTCATGTATGTAAATTTGTAGTCATATGTGTATATTGTACTGTGTGTGTAATGTGTAATAATGTGAATTGAGCCCTGGAAGATTAGCCCTAACGGGCTAAAGGGTATCGCAATAAACTGAAACTGAAACTGATTCCAGTGTTGGAGATAAAGTTTAGTCTTTACTTCATAATGACTTGTACCAACACAGATGAAGTTTGAATGCTAAGTCAAGTATTCCTTGTTGAGTGAAAGATCATCATCATCATCATGAGTGAAAGAAAACCCCAGTAACAACATACAGTAGTCTTACCTTGGTAGAAGCAGTCCTTGTTGTGAGCGATGGCGATCCTCTTCTTCAGCACGCAGGCCATCCGGTGCAGCTCGCAGTGGTTTGGGTACAGCTTGCCGTCGTTTCCGCACACCGGCTTCTTGTGGGGTCGGCAGGCATCCAGACACACGCACTCCGCGTCCCCGCTCTCGGGACTGACCCGGCAGTGGCGCCCGGGCCCACAGAACGTCTCGGAGCAAGCGTCGATCTCATACTCCTTGTCAACTGTAGTGGGATACAGAGAGATACATTGAGAGTGGATTCGTAAAAAGTTTCATCAGGTTGATAAGTCACTGAATAAAGAGACTCCTTTTACACAACCACAAGGTTTAACCAGGACCTCCACCTTTTTGATATCTTATTCAAAAAGATCTAGACCTCCCTAACTGAATCTTTGGGTACTCATTTTCACTTGTCGATGGGTGGAGTGTCAGAAAATGTGTTTAAAGTTTCTTTCCCAAGGACAAACAGACACAAGACAACCTTACCAACTTGTATGGTAATTGACCATCTATTATCATTAATTTATTGATTTTTGATAGCCTCTGCTAATGAAGCATGCATTTTGGTTGCATGACAACAGCCAGGATTCAAACTCTTGAGTCTCTGGAATGCGGACAGGGACCTTAGTAGCTGGAAGATTGACATCATCAGCCTGCAGCTGTTTTCGTCGCATGATTCCCACATCACGGCCGTGTAAGCCAGCACCAATAGCTACAACACATCCGGGTCAGGACCTCAAAGCACAGGACGGCATTGTACATCAAACATGCTCCAGTTGTCAATACCAGCCAGATGGCTATATGCAATGTACATGGATGAACTCCAGAATATGCCATCTGCAAAATGTACAACACACTTCCAGAACTTAAATTCTGCATGTATAACAGTGGGGGTTTATAGGTGCTACCAACTGACCCAGCCGATGGGTCTAGACCTTTTCGGCTGAGTGGTTAGAGCGTCTGACTGGGGCTGTGGGTTCGAACCCCGGCCCGGGACCAGAAGGGTTTTTACCGCTTGCCTCTTGTTTCTTACACATTATTAAAACGATTAAAAAGAAATGGATAATTGATGAATGTAAGGGAGGACTTCCACCACTTGAACCTACAATTAACGTCAACTCACAGGACAGAGGCAAGTGGCAGGCTGCCATCAACCCACAGTATTGCTGTGCAAGCATGTCTTAAACCCTCGGAAGTTGGGGAATAACAGATGATAAACCAGATAGTGAGTGAGTGAGTAAGCAAGTAAAACATAGCATCAGTATCATTTATCACTGGACTCAGAATATACTTAACTTGTAGTGGTTGTCAATATCACTCAAATGGGAGTCCAGGATATGCTCTATTAACACACTTATCACAGCCCAGATATGACATATAATAAGGCTACAAAATCTAGGTGAGGTTGAAGGACCGTCGACCACCATATTAACAACATAGCATTCATGTAGCCTGAAATATGCTCTATTAACACACTTATCACAGCCCAGATATGACATAGATACGGCTACAACATCTAGGTAAAGTTTCCGCCATATTAACAACATAGCATCCATGTAAAGCATTGAAATGACATCACACTGGATAAATGATTGGGATATGCAAAACATGTTCTGGTTGTCAATATTCCCCAGATGGCATCCACGCTCGAACACGGCGAATACGCAGCTCATCTACAACAGACATCCATACGTCATACAATAACAATTAAGCACAGTACAATGCAATCAATAGTCACTTCTGGTAGAGCTCTATCATTGTCAAATAGCAGTAGGCTCCATTCCTCATATACATGTAGTGTGTGTATAACTTATACACTAAAAGGATTGGTACACTGGCAGAATTTTACTTACAATTCTCATCTGGATAAGGAAATCTCTCTGATATTGACGTTCATTGCCATGATTTTATAGCAGATTTTTTGTCATTTTATTCTTGAAGCATTTAAAATAGCCCAGAAAGAAGCCAGTACAATGAATCTGTAAATACTTCAGTTTAATTCAATCAACTGGCATGTATACAGGAATTGCGACATGAAATTTGTTGAAAGTTACAAAGATATGACTAGTAAGTTAAAAAAATTGCAATAAAAGAACGTATGAAGAGCTCTAGACATTAAGAATATGATTAAAAGCATAACTATTAAAACCAACTTGTCAAAATACTGTACAATATCAACTAACAGTAATGTTCTCTGTCACAACAAGTGGGAGTTTAGTTCTTCAGTGTCTAAAACTGGATCGAGATCACTTTCCTTTGAACTTTTTACTTGCACTTGAATGGAGCCACTTTGGCAATGTCCTGGACTATCATCTACCGTTGGCTGCCTGCCAGTAGACATCGGCTTAGACAATGAATCCCTTGTCAACAGAGGAGACAGAAGTCTGCATGATTTATAAAGAGACAGACAGATAGGCATGACTTTGTGCTGCAGTCATGTCTCATAACGCCACAGCAAATTCATTTCCTGGACCCTCAGACAGACGTTTAAAGTAAAATTTCAATTCAATTTATTCAATCAAGCAAAATCTTACAACAGCAGGAGATGCTGATGCAACCCTAAATTGTGTATTCGATTTTCACAATTGGTTAAAACAACAATACAAGACAAGTACACAGAAACACACCATATCCAAATGAGAAGACAAGATGAAAACAAATTTAGGTCTGAGAGGAAAACTGTATCTTGACAGCCTGACTGTTCCTCTGTTTAGAGCTGTTTGTGCTAGCCACACATTTTGAGCAAATTCACTGTACTTCACTGGCCATGGTACATTGTGTACAACATGTTTAAAAACAGAATATTGCCACCCCAAAATTGTATCAGATGTCTCAGTCTGTAAATTACTAGTAAGCAAATTAACTGTAATTCAGGGGCAATGGTACATTCTGCACAACATATTTCAAATCAGAATATGCTTTCTTTTGTCATCCTACAATTTTTCAATAGGTCACATGAGGCATCAAGCAACCTGCCCAACCTTCTTTCCCTAGTTGACCCTCTCAGGTAGGTTCAACTGTATACTGTAAATTACAAACTATATTCTTGTTACTTTGATATATGCGGGTTTTTGTGGTGACTTCTGTACCACAAATTTATCTTTACAGCAAACAAATAGTTTGGCAACTTTCTTTCTTCTGCACCTGTCACCACCATGAACATACAATATTATCTGTATCTGTATAGCCGGTATAAAAGCTTCGTTGTAACAAACCAACTTCGCAGGCACACAGTGTGGTGGCAGCTGAGTAGCTACATATGGTATAGCGAACACCATTTTTTCTCAGACCTTGAACTTTTACTACTGCGAACATATAGCAATTTACAGTATTCAAGGCTATCAAAATCCTCCTCACTTCATTTCATACAACGAGTGCAGTTTGCAAAAAAAAATGCATGGAATTTGCAACAACTGCAGTCCATCTTTCGATCCATATGGTAAGGTTGAGCCTGCTACAGGGCATCCCATCGGGGCCATACATACAAAATGTACCGTCCGTTTTACTACCTCTCAGGCTCAAAGTAATGCCGTAAAAACCTTGACATCAGCACATTCCATTTCCATCACAAAAGCATCAGCAGAGTCAGGGCTAAAAACACTCTAGTGCTTCTTAGATAGCATGCATAGTCAAGTGGTGACAGAACATCTCATTTGTGGTATATATTATGCATTTAAGGTATTACACATCAGTATATAATTTTCAAATGTTATGTCAGGACTCTAAAAAATATTGTCTACAATGCACAAAATTTTGCTGCAACGTTGACCAAACATGCAACAGAAATCATGATTACATGCAGGTGCAGTAACATCTGTGTCCATAATATCACCAGGGTCCATAATATCACCACCTTGAGAAACGGTGTGCTTAAAGATATTTTTACTGCAACATGCTTTTGGTATGTACTCCTTCACACATCAAATGTACATACCTACGTAGGGTCTGTTACAGTAAAATATCTTAAAGCACACTGTTTCTCAAGGTGGCGATATTATGGACCCTGGTGATATTATGGACACAGATGTTACATTCTACCGAGTCTTTACTAAATGTGATGCAACGAGTTCATGTAGTCAGCAGCAACTCCTGTATTGCATACATGTAATTTCCTGTATTGCCAAGCCTAAACAATTGCAGCAACCAACAATGCAACATAGCCCCGTACATACACACACACCCCGCCGCAGTTTTCGGTATCATCATGACCCTTGCCCTATTTACTTTTAACGACTGCCCAGGGAGAATCACATCACCAGTATTGTTGGACACAGATGCCTATCAGTAACCGCCCTCCCGGGAGCCATTTGCACGCCGAGTATCAGAAAATGTATGAATGATTGATACGGAGTGGCGGAGACGATGACATCTTCTCTTTTCATCAGCACTGAACCTTGACAAACACGGACGGAAATGTACGCTGCTCTCATGAATTCATTTATTGTTTGTTTCTTTATTAATTTTATTTGTGACACCAAAAAGCAAACCTTACAGCAAGGATAAAACTCCCTGAATTGCAAAGAGTTTACGTACAAAATTACAACTGACAAGATAGGCAAATTGAATATATAATATTACATCCCTCATACATTATTTTCATGCCAAGCAAACCTTCTGACTTTTGTACAGATGAGGTTTAGGAAACAAAGCAAGACTTATTTTTATGACAGTTCTTTGTTCTACAGTGTTACAGCCCTATGTAGAATCTGCCTGTTTCATGCGTCTATTCACAGATTATACATGTAGCCTGCATTTGTCTCTTGTTCATTTCAACTTAATAACTAGGCTGCAAAGTCAACCCCAGCAATGAACTGGGACAAAAAGCAAGAAGCTGAACTCCAGCGAGAAGCTGAACTCCAGTCAGAAGCTCTCAGAGCATGGAGGACAGGCATCAAAATATCTACTACTAAGCAAGTGACAACCCCTACCGGATGTGTAAGAAGAAAATCTAATATAGTATATTTTGTAAAAACCCAACTGATATCACCCGTATATATAGCAACGAGAAGCAGTACTCTATCTAGTCAGCTTTGAGAAAGATGTCTGATGACAGGGACCAAAACGTAAGCAAGTGAGAACCACTACCGGTCGTGTAAGAAGAAAATCCCTGTACTGAGAGGTTGTAAAGACCAACTGAAATCACCTGTCAGGCCCCTTGGCACCTGCCCAGGAGAACTAACCCACGACTGGCCGAGTCAGCATGCTCCCGGCATCACTCATCAA